GTAGGTTTCCTACTGGCCGGAAACATGCGCCACTACTATACAAAAGACGGGGAAGAGAAGACCACTTACTTTTATTTTGAACAGCATTTTGTATCGTCCTACATCAGTTGTATCACCGGTGCTGCTTCGCTCCTGAGTATTGAGGCGCTGACCGATTGCCGGCTGCTGGTATTCCGATATGATATTTTACATGAACTGTTTGACAAGACGCAGGCCTGGGCGCGTTTCGGACGGCTGCTGGCGGAGTACCTGGCTATTGGCCTGGAGGAACGAATGGTGGGCTTATTGATGCTGTCGCCGGAAGAGCGTTACCGGCAATTGCTGGCAGGCAATAAACAGAAGATCCTGGAGCGCATTCCACAACATTATATCGCCAGTTACCTGGGTATTACACCTGTTAGTCTTAGCCGCATACGCAGCCGCATGACCAAAAAATAATGGCTCTTTTCTTATCTTAAGTTATCGTTTTCAACCTGCTACTTAACGGAGCTTTGCAGTCTAAAAATGATGACGATGAAAAATACATTAAAGCTTGAAGAGCTGGCCCAGCTGGGCATTGCGCTGTTTGGTATCTACCAGTTGTCGCCTGGTATCTACTGGTGGTTATGGCCATTCCTGTTCCTCGCACCGGATCTGAGCATGGTCGGTTATCTGGTCAATACAAGGGTGGGGGCCGTCTGTTATAATATGGCGCATCACAAGGCCATTGCCGCTGTTGTGCTCTTGCTTGGATGGTGGTTTAATATGCCGATGTTTTTATTGGCCGGTTTGTTATTATGGGCACATTCTTCTTTTGACCGGGTACTGGGATATGGTTTGAAATACCCGGATGCTTTCACACATACACACCTGGGGCGTATTGGTAATTCAATGTCGGTTAGTTAGTGCATTGGTTGTCTTAAAGCCGTCAGGGTACGGCACCCCGCCCGAGCGAAGTCGGGGGACTTTGCTCAACTTATATCCTTAACTCAATTACATCGGATTGGTAATGCAACAGTCAAGCCGCACGATTCACTATAAACATATTGCCAAGTCAGCAACTATGCCAAGTACGTAATAATGATGCTTGATAAGGAGGCATATCCTGCAACTGTTCTGCGATAGCCGATAAAACTTTCCGCTGAATTTTTATAAATAAATTTGGATTAATGAAAGGGCTGATTGTATATTTGCGGCCCGAAATAAAACACAAC